CACTCTTGATGGGGCTTGGGGGACCCTTTGTGGTGCCAAGGATCAAACCAGGCAAGCTCTGTAACCCCTGGGTCCTGTGTCCAGCCCTGGTTGCCTCTTCCATGATGCGTCCTTTATGAGTAGCTCCAGAAAAGCCAAGGTTTATGCTTCCAGAATGGATAGGCGGAGTAGCCAAAAAAGGAGCAAATGTTTGTCATAACCTCTGTCATAGCTGACAGTGGTGACCAGTATCGTACTTAGACACGGTTAAAGATAAAGCTCACTGTTATTTGCACTTAATGAGCATTGTTCCGAATTTTGGCCTCAATTCTACAATCTTATCCAGGACCATGCTGCTAATTTATCTTGGTTTCTTAGTTTTCAAGTTTTATTTTTTTAAGATTTTATTTTCCTGGACCAGTCTTCTAATGATAGCGGGGTAACACAAGTTTACAAAGTAATTTTTTTAAAATGTCATTGTAAAGTAAAGTAAAGTAAAGGCCCTCCCGTTGATCATCGATTTGCTCGAGCGGGCCCAGTAACGTCTCCATTGGAGACTTTGTTGTTACCGTGTTTGGCATATCGAATACGTCACGGGGAGCTTGCCAGGCTCTGCCGTGCGGGCGAGATACTCTCCGTAGCTTGCCAGGCTCTCTGAGAGGGGCGGAGGAATCGAACTCGGGTCGGCCATGTTGGCTGTGTGCAAGGCAAACGCCCTACCGCTGTGCTATCGCTCTAGCCATTGTCATTGTGTATCATTTAAAAAGTTTTGAGCTTTCTTGTATCTGGCATGATATTTACTTGATTTAAATCAGTGTTCAATAATAATGCTGTCATCTTATATTATGAAGACAAGTCCACACATCCCTCCACAAAAAAAAAAAATAAGACCTGAAACTTGATCAGTGATTGCTGATCGCAAAAGCTAGTGATTTAAAAATTGGGGAGAGAAGAAACTATATTTGAATGTACCTGACATTTTCATCTGAGAAGTCATTTATATTTTTATGGTTTTTTTTTTTAAGAATTAAACTCCATTTGAAAGTGTCTTTCATTATGTGTGCTTAACCATGTTGTTTTTGAAGACCAAGTAGTTTTCAAATTGAGAATAAAAAAGCCTTTGCGGGAGAGAGCCATCAATGTTGGTTTGCTTTGGGGACTTTAAGTAGCAAAGTAGAAATGATTAGCTCTTTTTAGATGGTGTTTTAAGTTACTTCATTGTTCTGAATTTTAAGTAGAATTTAGTTCCATGTAAAAATGTAATCCACAAGGCGCTTTCTCTCTCTCTCTCTCTCTCTCTCTCTCTCTGGGCATCGTTGTTTGCGATATTGATACTGAAAGGTTATCAAGAGTATCCCTTTACCTACTTTTAACACTCAGTTCTTGTCCAATGTGATCATTCCCTACTATTATTGTCATACTGTTCTCTATTTACCCTCAGCCCTCCCCACACACTTGTGGTTGATTCCAACACAGTCCATTTACCAAAGAAAGGTAAATGGCAGAGATTGCCAGTGAGTCCTTCCTAAAACACATGTGATTGATTCACTGTGTTCTGGGGAGTGTAGTGTGCAACTTCTATGGTCTCCCAAAAGAAATGGGTGTGCCCTCCGCACCCTTTTCACAGGCTGGAACGTAGCAGTGGTGGTAGATTAGGATGTGCCACCTTGGAATGAGAGATGGGAGCCACGTTTTAGCCAAAGCCGGACGTCTTGGAGCAGTAAAGCCACCATCTTAGGCTTCAGCTCCCAGTGGTCAGTTGGTTAAAAGTATGAGACAGAGGTGATCTTTGGGTTAAAGAAGATTTGTTTTGACTAACTGAATTACAATGAAAAATAGTGATTGAGCTAACTGAATCTGAAGATATTGGATAAACTTGACATAAGTAAAACACATGACGAAAACATAATAGATTAAGTCAAAGATAACAAATGAGGAAAGACGATAATCGGTCACATTTCAAAGGCTAAAATTTCACTTTGTTAACCCAGGTATGTGGTTTATTTTATTTAGTCACCATGATAGTGTCAGTGTAATGTTTTAGGTCTTTTCTCAGCCAGCACGAGAGCACTTGCATTCTTCCACCCTCTTCTCTAGGCCCTTCCCACTCTCACTCCATCCCTCCACCTTTACAAAACCAGTTCTGTAGGCATATTCTCAAGGTCTGTTAGCATCCACGTCCTTTTCTGTGCTGCCTTATACTCCCCATATGAGTGAGATCATTTGGTATTTGTGCTTTTTCCCTTTGGTTCATTTCTTTCAGCGTGATCCCCCCCCCTCCACCCCCAGTTCCATCCAAGTTGGAGTGCAGGGCAAGATTTCCTCTTTTAGCTGAGCAGTATTCCGCTGTGTGTGTATGCTGCAATTTTACCAAAAGCCACTTTTATAAAAAATGCAGCTCAATAAGAAAAAGTTTCACAACACGATAGAAAATTGGCCAGAAGTTATGTGCTGATTGCACAGGAAAAGTGATATGGCTGATAAAAATAAGAAAAAGGGTGTTTCCAGCGTGATGCCACTTTTATATAGTAGTTAGATAACTGGATGCCTAGATCACCCTTGGCCTCAGAGTCTAGGGAGAAAGAAAGAAATCGAGTGGAGGCAAGGAGAAAAGACCGAAGAGAAGCAAGAGCAGGCAGGGGTCAAGGGTTTTTGTGTGCGTTGGTGATGTCAAGGAGCAGTAGAGCTAAATATCCAAGCCACAGTCAGCAACACTGAACTCAGGAGACCGAGACTTTAACAACCTTAACTACCATACTTAAGAAGGTGCCTGTCAAAAGGGCAGACTGGGGGTGGGGGGGAACTGGGAACTCTCTTGGAGGGAAGGTGATATTGGGGGTGGGATTGGTGATAGGGCATTGTTATGTGTAAAACTCAACTATGAGAGCGATAGCACAGCAGGTAGGGCGTTTGCCTTGCACGCGGCTGACCTGGGTTCGATCCCTGGCATCCCATATGGTCCCCAAAGCACAACCAGGAGTGATTCCTGAGTGCAGAGCCAGGAATGACTCCTGAGCATCACTGGGTGTGACCCAAAAAGAAAAAAAAAACTCAACTATGAGAAACTTTGTCAATCATGGTGCTTTAATAAAAATTTTCAAAAAGGAAAACATAAGGAAAAGGACGCTTATATTTGTTAGGGAAAGAAAGAAAAAAAGAAAGAGTTAGCCCAGAGGGCTATCATGTGTGTCCCCGACCAGCACCAACCCCCCTCTCCCCCCCCCCCCCCCCCCCCCACACACACACACACACACACACCCAGCATTGCCGGCTGTGGCCTGGAGCTCAGCACCATGGTGGAGAAAGTGCTGCATTTCCAGGCCCGACCCTTAAGTAGTCTTGCATCACGACTCTGCTTGGAAGCAGTTCCCATGAACATTGCTGGCAGTTCCCTCTTAAAAAAGGAATAAAAAGATGAAGTTGCTGAAGATGTCATTTTTATCACGCAGATTAGCTAAAGCTTAGGGCTTGGTCAGAAGCCTCTGATAAAGACTTGTGCTTCTCTCAGCTTGTTCGACACCTCTCCGCTTCCACCATACTACGGGGGTCTCCTTGCTGGGAGCCACCACCTGTCATCACCCAGGTCTCTGTGCCTCCTCTGCCTGCCCTTCGCCTGGGGTGCTGGTCCCCTAGGGACCCACTGGGCTCACTCACCCACGCTCAAGTGTTCTCCTCATTGAGACGTGTCCTCACTTGCCATTTAAAATGATGGCCACTTCACCCCTTTCCTAACCCAACCCCACCGGCCCTGTGTTCATTTCTAATTTATTATTTTGTGGTTATAATTTGTATCATCCCACTGGAACATAAACCCCCCAAAGACAGGGGTCTTTGTTCTTCTCCGAGGACTGCTACGCCCCAGAAGAGCCCTCATCTTAGAATTATTAAATAAAGGCAGCGAGTCCTCACCTAAGATCATTGAAGAGTCTCGGAAACTGTGACTTTAGGTGAACTGACATACGAATAGCAGCGCCTCCTCAGTATTATAATGAAATGCTGCTAAATGAGATGACATGGCTCAGGGACCTGCTCTCTGGCAAACTGTATTGGCAAGGCTGTCAGAAGCAGGTAGGCATACAAATTGCTCACCACCTGTGGAGAACAATTCGACAATATCTAAACTAGGGTGTGCACAGCAGTGGGACTTCGGGTTTCTTGTTATAGGTTCTATTTTTTTAAAAATTTTTATTAGTGAAACACCATGATACGGTACAGTTGTAGACTTACACGTTTTTGTGCTTGGGTTTCAGTTATACAATGATCGAGGACCCATCCCTCCACCAGTGCCCATTCTCCACCACCAATGATCCCAGTATCCCTCCCTCCCCCCTATAGGTTCTGTTTATGTTTTACTTCTCACTGTGGTTTTGATTTGTTTTGAAATAACCACATAGGACTGAATATCCTCAAAATGAGCCTCAGGAGGTGGCTTAGCCGAACATAGCAGATCAGTAAGAATATTGGAACACGCGACAGCACTTGTCCTTTTTATTTATTTGTTTTTGGTGGGGTAGAGGGTGATTGGGTAGAGGGTGATTGGGCTGCTCTGGGTGGTGCTCAGGGATCATTCCGTGGCCGAGCTGATTGGACCGTTTCTGCTGTGCCTGGATGAGCTGGGTTGGCTGTGTGTAAGGCACGTGACTTCGCCCTTCCCCAACCCCCTCCCACACACACACTTTTTCCCTAAAACTTATTTTGTTTTTGGGCCACACCCAGTGGTGCTCAGGACTTACTCCTGACTCTTCTGGAGGCTACTCTCTTGGGTGCTGGGGGTCGAATCTGGGTCGGCTGCATGCAAGGCAAGTGTCTTACCCACTACACTGTTTCTCCAGTCCTCATGAAAAATAATTTGAATACGTATTCCAAGAGTAGAATAGTTTCTTAAGGTATGTATTTCAGCTGTATTATTGCTTTACAGTAGTCATGTGGATATGCCACTTTTGTTAAGTATTTTTTTTTTTTTTTTTTTTTTTTTTTTGGTTAGCGTTCTAATCGTTTGGTTGTTGTCTTTTTCTTTTCAGTCCTGATGATATTGGGACCTGCTGGTATATCCTGCTCTCTGGCTCCGTGTTCATCAAGGAATCCATGTTTCTTCCGAGAAGCAGGTATAGTAGAGATGTTTTGTAAAGTTTCCCCCAGAGAGCTTTAAATTTGAATATTTACAGAATTGACTTTGTTTCCAGATGTTTTTTTCTCTTCTCGACTCTTTTCTCCGTTTCCTTTTCCCTGGACTCAAGGCAGTGCCTCAGGGTGGTGATACACAAATCTTTAAGAGTTTCTGCTCTAAACCGGGTCCCAGTTTCCTGAGCAGAGTGGAGGCGCAGAAGACATTCTGATGACATGCTCGTTTGTTACAGGAATATGGCAGGCTAGCTCAGGACACGCTTGTTCCCAGGGAATGCAATCTGCCTTCATAAACAGGCAGCCTCACAAACATCTACAGAGAGGCAGAGGAAGTTCACTGAGACCACATGGGACTAGAGGTGGGCAGCCAGCGACTGTTGACATCTCCGAGGCTCAGACCATATGGTTTCTCAGTTTTGCATCTGTCTGTGGACTCGCTTCCCGTTCTCTCAGGGTATTCATTTCTTTCTCCCCGTGACTTTGGCTTGTATGTGCCCATTGTTGATTTACGACCTTATGTCCCCGATGTTTCTACCATTTGATGGTGGGTACCTCTGTCTTGACCTTGTATTCTTGAGGCTGCTGTCTCATTGGCTGGGCCGGGGGCCAGATGTGTACCTAGTTCCCAGCAGGGGGATCAGAGAGGTTTAAGGCTCATCTGTTCCTCACGTGGCTGCCTATCTAGTTCTACCTTCAGTTTTCCTGAGGGGCCAGCCACTGAGTCTAGTAGTTATTCTCTCTCCCCTCCCCTCCGCCTATGGGGTTTCTCACAGTGAAATCTTTCTGATTCAACTCAAGATTTTTTATTTTTCATGACCTTTATTTGGAAGTTACTGGAACTGCGTTAGTCTTGACTACTCAGATGCAGTAATTTCCCCCACAACCCTGAGTCTCCCATGCATAGAATCAGAAGGCAGATAGTACAGGAGGAGGGCGCATGCGCCTGACCTAAACTTGCCCTCGGGTGCCACATGGTCCCCGAGCAGCATCACGGTGGCCCTGGAGTCCCCCCAGGCACTGCCAGGTGTGACCCTGGAGGCCTGAGAGCACAACTAAGTGTAGCCCTGGAGGCCCCGGCACTGCCCAGGTAATTACAGCCAGCATGAAGGGCCTGAGCAACACTCGGTCCCTTGCACTCAGCGTACCCAGTTGGCTGAGACTTGCCAGGGGGTTACCAGGCCTCCTGAGCTGGACACATTGTGGGATCCCCCTGCCTTCCCCACTCCCTCCTGCCACCCCCCTTAAAAATATCTATAAATTAAATATCTATATCTATATATCTTTCTTTTGGAAGGCTAGAGGCAAATATTAAAGCATTGGAAAATTTTTAAATTCATATAATTTTAATGTTAGAGGAAGGAATAATTTCCTATGAAATTTCAAAGATAAAGTATATATATATGTGTGTGTAATATATATATGTATGTATATATATATGTGTATATATATGTGTATATATATATATATATTGTGTTTGTCGGGAATGAAACCCAAGCCTCAGAGGTGTGAAGCATATGTTCTACCACTCGGCATCCCTGGGCCCTAAACTATATTTTTAATAAATCTCAGTAGGCCCAGGGCTCCCAGTGGACCAGAGGCACGTTAATCTATTTTAAACACACTAACACAGTTTTGTGAAAAGCCAGTGAAGACAGGCAGAGGGCCGAGGCTGGCCCGGATCAGGAAGAGGAGGGGAATAGAGGACTTTGGGATGGGCCAGAGTGGCAGCGACTGAGTGCCAGGGGCATGCTGCCGACCGAACACCAGCCTCTGGGCAGGGCTCATGCCCTCTGTGCCCTTCTGCTTTTCTGAGATCATATTGGCAGGAGATCTCCTTGGAAAGTGGCCCCACGAGGAGAGCAAGCTCTGCTGCCAGCCTGTCTCTTTTTATAGACAAAGAAATCAGCATTGTTGGTATCAGTAGTAGTAATAGAAGTAATGAATAATAGAAGTAATAAGTTGATAATGGATTAGTATGTATGGGTAGTGCTGCTTCTCTCTGCCAGGTACCATTAAAAAGGTTTATATTATTGAATCATTTAATTTCACAACCATCTCTTCTAGGTACTATTAAAAATGCTTATGCTATTAAATCATGTAATCTCACAGTTACCTTTTTTTTTGTTTGTTTTAAAACATAAACATTTTAACTTTTTATTTTTTTTATTAGTGAAACACCATGAGGTACAGTTGTAGACTTACAAACTTTCGTGCTTGGGTTTCAGTTACACAATGATCGAGTACCCATCCCTCCAACCAGTGCCCATTCTCTACCACCAATGATCCCAGTAGTCTCCCCCTCCCCATACACACACACACACACACACACACACACACACACACACACACCTGCCCCACCTTTGTGGCAGGGCATTCCCTTTTGTTTCTCTTTCCTTTAGGGTAACACAATTGTCTGTTGAGGCTCACTTTTTACTTCTCTTTCATAACTGAGGAAACGAAGTAAAGGATGGTGATGGATGTACCCTCCTGGATTTCTTTGTAGGAAGGGTGGTATGGTCCTGTGATAGGCTCCTAAAATTTGATGAATTCTTCTCCCCAGTGGAGTGGAGAATAAGTAGCAGTGATCTCCTATGCGTTTGATCACAGGACTTACTATATGGTTTCTTTGGGGAGTTTAGAGGGAAATAGTTAAGCATTGGAAAAATTTTAAATCACACGTAATTTTAATGTTAAAGGGAAGAATAATTTTTGTATGAAATGTTGAAGATAAAATGAGGGAAAAATCACCAATATTTCTCATTCAAGTTAAAATTTTAAATATTTCAGCATTTAAAAAAATTCTTTCACGTCCATCTGCTTTAGATCATACATTATCTGTTTATTTCAGTTAATAATTTTTTTTATATTTGCAAAATATTAAAAATTCTCTATAATTCTTTAGAAGGGTTGACTTCATACTTTTTGGTTTGTGTTTATGTCTAGGGTTGCCCCTGGGGGAACTCAGGGTCTCTCTCATTGATGACTGGGGACATTGTTGTGGAGGGAGATGTGGGACCTGAGAGAAGTCCAGGGTTCGAGTGTGTGCCCCCAGCTTTCTGATGCATCTCCTTGGCCCTGCTCTTAGTAGGGTCTTAACATCTGTTTAATGTTAGTTGCTTGAGCTTTCTGTAACTGAGTTAATCTCCATAAAGGAAAAAAATTTTAAAAATATTTCTTATCATGATGGATTACTCTAAGGAATGTGGTTGGAAATGTATATAGTTGGTAGAGAACAGAACGTTGTGACTTCATCATCTTCTCGATACAGGGTTAAATGTACAGCTAAGTTTATCGCCATGGTTCCTGTAGCAGTTGAATGAGCCTGCGATGGTTTGCCTGACTACCAGCTGTTAGCAGCTAGTCGAATAGCAGCTTGCTCTCACTTCTGTTCTAGAAGAAAGAGAACTTGCAGTTCAGACCAGTTTCACAAACACATTGGACTCTCTGTCTGATTATTTTAAAAGATGACATAAGTTACTCTTCTTTGGCTGGCTGTCAAAATTAGTGCTTTAATGGGATGAAGGAAGGAATGGTGTTTCAGACTAAGTGACAAGCCAGTCCTATTTATAGATGATTTCTTCATGTTGCACCTGGTGACATTTGCTCTGTCCAAGTTGTTTGTTTGCTCCGGGGATGTTGCCCTAGGAATAGTTCTGAGGTTGTTTTAAGTGTCTCTCCTGGTCATGTCCTAATGGCGGATGCCTGTGACTTATCCATATTACTCTATCTAGAAATTACTTAGATTTGACTTGAGTAATATGGATTAAGTATTAATGGTAGCTTGGTTTCATAAAACACCCCATTCACAGATGATTCTCCACGTTAACCTGGTTTTTATCCTGTCAGCCCAGGAATTGGTTTTTAGGATGCACGTTAAGTAAGCTGACCATTCCATTGAAAGTTTTGACTAGGAATTCACCGTGAACATTTACTTTTGAATCAGATCAGAGTACTTGAATATTGTTCAGATCTTTAATTCTCATGGAATTGCTTTGATACCTAATATCAGGTGAGAAAGATGATAGATATTGCCAAGCAAAAGAAAAACTGATTTGACTTCCACATTTCCTTAGTTCTATGGAATTTCTCAGTTGACATTTTGAATAGTGTTTGTTTTTCTTTTTCTTTCTTCCTCGTTTTAAATAAATAAGGGTAGTTTCAGTTTTGTGTCTTTGTTCATACATGAGTATTGTTCTTGATAAGATTTCTAACTGGTACAGGGTCTGTGAATTCCTTTGCGATCCCAAGTGATAGCTTCTGCACACTTCCCCATTCCAAACAACCTCAGTGATAGAAATGGTGTCTTTATGAATTTTACTATAAATTTAGTAGGAATACCCACTTTAGAGACAGTATTTTGTACAAGTGGTGTTTATCCTATGAATATCCTGTTGCTATCCATAACATTGCCCTAAGATGGAGCTGACTCTGCTTTGGAGTCAGCGATATGCAGTTTATAGTTAGGTTTTTGTAAAGTTTTATTTTTGCAGGGTGTGCTTTTCTATGTGTAACTTGCTGTTTACAGTGGTAGTCATGGTAGGCTGATATATTAAGATAGTGACAAGCAGAGGGTAGTGAAGTATCTTGAGGAAAGAATTTCTCCACTCTTAATTGTCTTTAGAAGATACTCAGCAGCGGGGCAAGAGAGCATGAAGTAAATACCCCACTTTAGGGTGCTTCACTGTACTGCACCTCACAGATACCACTTTGAAAAAAATTGAAGGTTTCTGGAACCCTTGTGTATAGCATGTTTGTTTGGTGCCATTGTCCAACACTTTAGATGATGGTTAACATCTTTGTTTTGTTAGTAAAGAAGTGTTTTAACTTTAGAGTATGTGCATTGTCTTATTTATAATACTACTGCATACTTAATAGACTTTGAACGCTACACTTTATATTCCTTGGGAACCAACAAATTTGTGACACTGTGGTGATAATCATTTTTATTGTAGTGTTCTGGAACCAACTTGAGGCATTTCTA